CGAAGAAGGGCTCGAAAGAAAGTAGGGATATTAGAGGTTGCTACCGCGTCTGTACACAGTAAACGTTAAGTGTGTATCGTTGCGCCTGGCGCCAGGCTTTACGACGCGTATCGTGTTCGTGTTTTAACCATCAGGTAGCTAAAGGATCCTTCTTCCTTTTACTTCCGGTTCTAAGGGCCTCGACCACATCCTTCGAGATTTCTCCTCCTCTGACCGTAAACAATATCTTCCCCAACTACGAGATTGTTCTATCTTCTTCTTCTTCTTCTTCTTCTTCTTCTTCTTCTTCTTCTTCTTCTTCTTCTTACTTTTCTGCTTATTTGTCTCTTATTGTTAGAAAAATGACTTTTCCGACTAACTCGTATATTTGATTTATGTGTCATTTGAAATACGATCCTAAATGGACGAACAAATCTCACAATATATACACAATATATATATATTTTTATATATATATATTTTTTTTTTCTTTATCTTTTTAATGTTATATCGAAAATACAATAAATCGAAAAATACATGATTAATTATTATTTAAGATTGGTCAATAGTTCTTAGTTATTGTAAAATTATAAACTTAAGTACTTTGAGATCCATCGTATGCACCAAAAAAATTTCATTGTATTTTACGATAGAAAATAAGCTTATCGATTTCACCTTTGCTTCGAGTTCAAATCACAAAAAAATCGAAAGTTTTCCGGTCGAACTTTGATATTAGTCTCTTTCGCATTTTAACTTTTTCAAATTCCTACAAGGCGCCAAGAAAATTTCATCCTCTTTTCTTCAGGATTTTCCATGATATGACTATTATATGGATTTAAAAAAGATCGTTCGAATCAAAACATTACATATTGTTGTAAGCTATCTAAGAATTTACGAGCTTACCTGAACAAACCTTAGGGCTTCGTATTTCTTTAGGGACAGACCTTATATCCTTATTAGCCGGACTTTAAAAATAAGAGTTTTCCGAGAGATTTTCTTTTCTTTTTTCTTTGTTTTTTTTGTTTTCAAAATTTTATTCAAAGATCAATATCAACCAAATAGTTTCCAATAATCATTTAGAAATTTTCCCGATAATCCGATAGGTATCTTTCATTCAATTTCTCTTCTATTGTTCAAAATAAACCCAACACTTTTGAAATTTTCTCACTGTTCAAATATTTGAAGGAATAAGTCAGAATTTTGTCCATGGGTGTCTTTTATTCTTGTTTTTCTTTCTGTCTAATTACTTATATATCATCGAATAAATTTGTATAAATTTTTGACTAAGGTCAGTATCATACTTAACGGCGGTTATGTTTTATTACGATCGAGAATAAGACGAGTGACAAGTTTCGGTTGAATGAAAGAGAGAGAGAGAGTGAGTTCATCCTTCTCCACCAATGGGTTCTCGGCGAAGGTGGCTGTAACTGTAACTGTAGCAGCAGCAGCAGTAGCAGCAGCAACAAGTTCGTACGACCTTCACTATAAATACCTAATTTCGCCTTCGAGCTATTTGCGACGGCTAATGCCGCGATATTTATACGATGGCTAAGTGTAGGTACCAGGGCGTAGATTTATGCGATGGCCAACGCGATGGCTGTATATTTTCATTGCATCGGTTCACTTTATTTAAAACGCATCTTCTCCCCGATGCCGTAACGCGTCTTATCAGATTGCATAAATCTTGTTTTTTTTTGGTTTCTTTTGGGGGGTTTTTTTCTTCTACTTCTAACTTTCCTTTTAACTCTTGCAAATAAACTTCGATCTGCGAGAAAAAATACTATTAGCAATCAAATATGAGTTTAGTAACGAGCACTCGTTACGAATGAATTAATCGTCATTCGAAATTCAATACAATGTATTTACATTTTTTGGATAAAATGTAATGGTAGAAAAATGTATCAGAAAATTAGTCAACTGAACAATCCGGTACGCGTACACATTTTTCATAGAGATTTTTTTTCTTTTTACCGACAGTTTAAAGCAAATACAAAAGAATAAAATAAATATAAAGCAAGAAAGAGAGAAAAGAAAAAAAGGGGGGAATATAAAAAGGCAAGAACCTAGGTCGGATTAAAGTTCTTTTCTTTCGTTTTAGAAGGCTTCGATTCGAAGGTACCGATTGACCTCCATATTCCCGACTAGCTAAACCAGGAGCCATCCTGAGCCGCTTAAGTAGCTATGGGATTTGCTTTCCTCCAGCTTCACAACGACGACGACGACAACGTTCCTCTCGAAGGTGCCATCCGCCCTATTTTTTTCCACGTCTCCTCGCACACCCTTCGAGAAAAACCGATTTTCCTTTTTTTCGAAACTTCCGGGAATTTAGCGTTAAATTATTTTTTATTTTGTTACTTTAAAATTAAACAAATGTTCTTCGTCGCGAATAAATGTTCTTTTTAATGTAACAGAAAAAATATGAAAAGTATCGAGATAATGCATACGTGTGTGCACGTAAATACCCGATAACCGTCGACTATTTACAAGCGAACCGTTCAAAGTTTTGTAAACTTCATATTTTTACACGGAAGTTTGGCGCGAGTGGGGTGGCGGGGTTGGGGGCGGGGGAGGGGCTGGCAGAAGACTGGCACAACGCGAGCATGTTTTATCGCCTAATATATTTTTCAACGCGATAAAGACTCTCGTTTGGCATACGTTTCGAATCACGAGGACTCGTAAAGCAAATACATACGCGATTCGACGAGAACTTATCTTCGTTTAAATCACTTCTCGTTGTCAGATTTGTTGGAATGTAAAATTCGCGCAATGTCAAGGAGAAATTTCCAAATTAAAAAAAGAAAATAGGGGAAGGAAGAGGAAATAATACGAAAGGGAAAATTAATATTAAATCAATTTTGTCGATTAAAAAGATAATTGAATCGATCGATTCCTCGGTACACGATGATCCGACAACGAAGTTAATTAACGTCAATGCAAAATAAAAACGTCGTCTGGCCGTGTACTCCAGCCTTTTCTCTTTTTCTCTTGAAACATTGAGGAAAACAGAGTAGGTCTGTCTTATGGCAGAGAGACTAGACGACTTAATAACGAGTAAATAAAAGGCGTCACTTTATGTCCGAATGAAAATTAAATGGCGCGGTGAGTCGCGAAAATGAATTATCGCCGTTGAACGTTTACTCCTTCCCCCCCCCCCGCTACCACCCGCTATGAAAATATTAACTCGTGTAAAGTGCCGCGTTAAGAAATTCATGACGAGTTCTCGACTAGTAGACGAAAAAATTATCCAAACGAAAATTCTCTTTTTCCCCTCTTCTTCTATTCCTGTTGTTGCTCTTGTTGTTGTTGTTGTTTCCTTAAGAACAATTTATCCAACTAATTGAGTCTATCGTTTTTATTCTATTTCTTTTATTTCTATTTTTATTCTTTATCAATATATATATATATATATATTCTCATATTCAGATAAATTTATCTAACATCTTTTTTCTTTTCACATTTTTCTATATAAGTAAATAATGAAGAATAATTTATATTGTCATTATTTTTTGATTAGATTTTAATTGAAAAATACAAATTATTTGTAATTCTCGAGTGTGTGTCGGGAGAGAAGTATTTAAAATTCAACATTTACAAATCCTTAAAATTCAGCATTCAACATGTTCGTTTAAAAATCTTAACTATTCAACACGCTCGACGTGTCAATTTACAAACATTACAAAATCAACATTTAAAGTATTCGTTTATTTAAACAAAAAACATTGCATAGAGAAAAGAATCGGATAACGTTGAGGAAATTCTGACGAAAGGTGTTCATAGATGAACGTTCGATTGAAACGCGAAGAACCGTGCAATAATCGAACGAAATGCAACAAGGATGCACGCGATTTGAAGCGTAAACTTGGTCGAAAACGTGCGGGTTCTTACGAGATCAAGAGGGAAAAGCACGAAAAAGAGCAACCACACGCTCGTAGGCGGCCTACCGCGACTTTTTAGCGAATAAGAAAAGCGAGGGGGGAAAAAAAGAGCAACGGAGGAAAAGAAAACCTTTGAGGTTCACCAATAGTGCGTTAACTAAGCCGCCTTACTCGATCGAATCGTTTGACATAAAGAGAGGAGAGCCGACGTTAGTTTAAAAAAAGAAAAAAAGGAAAAAAGAGAAAAAGAAAAAAAAAAGGAAAATGAAAAAAACTGCAAATACCGCGGTGCGAGTTTTAGGTGAAAATGAAATTTTTTTTCTCTACTCGATGAAAATTCACGAGCGCGCTTGTTTTTTTTCCCCTTTTTTTTAATCAAATTTTCCAAAAATATATTTTATTTATCTTTTAACCCTGTGCGTAACGAAATTTTGTCGTCACGATTTTGAAAAAGAAAACGTAGTGGAATAGATATTTTCCGTATAAAAAGAGGACAAAACTGAAATTGTATCTATAGCATTTTTGGTTGTTCACAATTGCGTTAATCTACTCTAAGTCTATATTTAATATTCAGGAGGATTCCGTTACTCTTTCATTTGCGAAGGAATGACGAATCGATCGGGAAAACGTTTTACGCCCTTCTTTTTCCGCGAAATCGACGTTAAAAAGGGTCCGTTCGTTTCTTTTCTCAACAGTGTCGACGAAAGAAGAGAAGAGGAGGACATATTGTATCGTATATTTATAAGCGTGCGCACGCAGCACCTACACACAATAAGGCTATGTAGGGTGTTGCTAGAGCAGCAAGTTGATGGAGTACGAGTTGGACGAGGATGAGAAGGTGGAGGAGGAAAAGATGGCGATGCGGCAACAAGAGAAGGAAAGGACGAAGGGAGGAGGAGAATGAGGAGGAGGAGGAGGAGGAGGAGGAGGAGGCCTCTTAAGCGGCTCAGCGCGTAGAAGCGTATACGAGCGGAAAGCCGACAAAGCTATCAGCGCCGAATGCATCCCGGGCAGATGCTGCTCTCTTTGGTGTAGAGCCTTCTCGCTCCCTCTCATCCACCCTCCTCGTCCCTCCTCGTCCCTCTTCCTCCCGATTCTCGAGTGTCGAAGCCATGTGAGGAGCCCTACTCGAGTTGCCGTAATAATTCATTGTGGCCCGGTGCGAAGAACATAACAGAGAGACTCCGAAAGCATTCCTCCAGTGAACCGTCATACTGTGAGACAAAATTACGCACTATTATTCCAAAATTCGTCGATATACTATTTGAAAATATTCGATCGATTAAATATTTAAGATATTTTGATGGATTTACAGACGATAATTATAATGCGACCATTTCATTCGGAGCGACTCGCGTGCTCGGTCACTCGGAAAGCGCGGGAATTGAAGAAAAAAAATATGCATCTGTGATAGGAGCATTGAAATTTAAGAACTGGAAATCGTAGGACTCGCGTCCTCGACATCGCGTTCTTCCAAAATCGATCGACGGCCGACGTCTACTTCGAGAGGGATGCACGGTAACCGCACTACCACCACTACCGGCGGCATCAACGTTGCCAGCGTACCAGACACACTACCACCACTAGTACCGCGAAATCTCCGCGAACAAATCAACGGAGTTTGGACCACCGCGCTCTCGAGACCAACGGAAGAAAGATAGAAAGAGAAAGGAGTTGCAACGCGAACGGGAAGGAGGGACGAAACAAGAGGAGGAGGAGGAGGAGGAGGAGGAAAGTAGGAGCGCGGTGACACGTTATATACCGACCGTTTGGTTACCGCTTTGGTCGACGACGCGAAAGAAGAGTAGCAGTAAAGGAAAGAGAAAGAGAAAAGAAGAAGAAGAAGAAGAAGAAAGTAAAGAAGAAGAAGAAGAAGAAGAAAAAGGACGATGAAAGTATCGAGAGTAGGTGGTTCCTATAGGAAGGTGCAACGACTGGTAGTAGTAGTAGTAGTAGTAGTAGTTAGGTAGTCAAAGAAAGAAAGAAAGAGAGAGTAAGAGGAAAGAAAGGAACGGTCGGAGGGAGAGAGAAAGCCGCGGAACGACGAATCGATTAGGTAGGTCGGCCATTTTGTATGCGGGAATCGGCATAGTCGGCGCTAGGAGGAGCACGGTAGGCGTGGCCGAGCATCGGCGTCGACTCCTTGCCGAGGACAAATCGGCCCTCGTGTAGAGTAGCGCGCGCACGCGCGCATACCGCCGTCTTTCTCGCGATAGGACGGGACCTCGTCGCAGCGTACCAGGGGGCGTTCCGAAGGGTCCCGACGGGCCTAGTGGCACCCTTGGTGGGGGAGGAGTCGGCTCCGAGTGGTGGGGATGGATGCTTAGAAGTGGAAGGGTGAGACTAGGTCTGCCGGCGGCGACTCGTTTCTACTATAGCGAGCGAGCCGAACAGCAGTCAGTGCCTCTCAGGGCCCCGCGTCGTCAGTCTCGTTGGGGTTGTATCGTGAGATCGCGTCTTTCTCTCTCTTTCTCTCTCTCTCTCTCTCCTTCTCTCTTTCTCTTCCCTCTCTTCCCTCTCTTCCTCTTTTCACCCGTCTGTCAATCCCATTCTCCTTCTTCGTCTTCTTCTTCTCCTTCTCCTTCACTTCTGTCTTCCTCTCCCCCCCCCTAACCTTCCTCCTCGTCCTCTTGGCTCGCATCTCTTTTTTCTCTTTTTCCCACGTATTTTATTTGTCTCTTTTTTGACTGGTGCGACTCCACGCATCGATCACCATCATTGTGTATACGAGAGAGAAGAAGATTCCTCCTCCGTCGGCGGTGTTCTCTATGCGAAAGAGAGAGAGAATTCCTTCCTCGTTATGATTCGTACGAAACGCGAGTGATAAGACGATAAGAAGGAAATAAAGCGTGAGCGAAAGACGAATCGAATAGTTGTTGATGTGTCGTGACAGTTTTCTTTTTTTCCTCGACACAGTAGATGTGCTCGCAATTAAAATACATATTTAATACTTGTGATAGCATCGGAGAAAGGAAAGGATAACTGTGCGTAAAAATTGGAAATAATTCCAAGGGACTAACATAAGTGACAACTCGTGACGAAGGAACGTTAAACAATATTTTTTGTTATTCTTGTGTCAGGATCATTCGCGATAAAGGAAAGAGGGTACACGCTAAGGGTTTACTTGTCAGCATCGTTCAATCGCAAAATGGCGATGGTCGTCGCGAATATTTTCCCTCGAATTGTTCGTTAACGATCTCACGCGATAACATCGAGATCCTTCAAAATTAAATTCTAACAATTAGTCAGGAGAGTCGACTAAACGATCGATCAAACAGAGTGTCCGGTAGAATAAAGAAGGAACAACGTTGAATTGCAAGCCCCATAATTGACATTTTTTGAGATCAATTTGGAATAAAAATAAATACGAGAAAACTATTGGAAATAAGTTTGGCGAGAAGTCTAGGAGGGAAAAGGAGGCAAGTAAATAAGAATAAAAAGACGACGAAGAGGAAAAAGAAAAAGAAGAAAAGGTACACCGCTTCGGCCGGTGGTTTAAAAAGCCTTCAAGATTGCTCGAAAACCGTCGCGCGAGTCGCGCAGGGTTGGACGAACAGCGGAAATACGGGGTGCGTGGGCAGCTATGCAAAGGGCGGTTGCTGGCGGAGGGCCCGGGCCCTTGGGTCTTCAGGGCCCTCCAAGGTCAGTCAAAATATCCCCAGTCAACATTCAGGACGAACCAGGTGACCCGACCTCGCAAAGTACGTAATAAAATATCTTAATATATCATACTAAATTCATTTTTATTTCATCTTTATATTTGCAAACAATTCATAGGAATATATATCCATTTATATAAATTATAACGTAATAAGTTTTCTTTCGATAATATTAAATTTTCAATATATCGTTGAAAATTAGAGAAATTATAAGGATTACATTATTTTTTCAAGGAATAAATATTTAGTTTCGATGACGGACGTTAATGAAATTTCAATTGATCAAGGAAAACATTATTAAGAAGAAATGTGTCTGATAAAAGATGCATCGAACAAGGTTGATTTATTTTTGATCCTTTGATGGATCTTTCATTCGTTGGATACTTATAGAAATAACGTTGTTACAATCGTAGCTCGAGTATAGGATTCCAAAAATATTCGTAACTCGTTCGGATCTCATTCGAATCTCCCACATTTTGTGACATTAATCCCTGACAGTTTTGTCAATAACGTCGTTTTCACATTTCAAATAAAGAATATCTCCCATTTAGAATAAGATAACACGGTCCGTAATATCTCTCAGTTTCCATTTTCGTACACGGAATCGTTCGAATTAGCCTATTGAATAACATTTATCTTAATCGAATAGAGAAACTGTTAATAACCGTACTCTATAGTAATCAATTTGATAATACATAGAAAAATCGTAAATATGAATGAAGATTTTCATTCGACGAATAAAATACGAACACGTGCTCTATTCCTACCAATGTGATAATAATTATTCATTTATGATCGATCCTTCGAGCCATTAAGACGTCATTTCAGACTATTAAATCGAGATCTCTTTTAAAAGGTAACAAAAATCGGTTTACGAATGGGAAAACTTCATTGAGTATTTAAAGACGCACTTTGATGAGAGTTAACGAACTATCTGTAATATTATCGTTTTTCATAGAGCTTTAATTAGGCGATTGAAGGTTCGTTAATTGAACAAAATACCTAAAAGAAATGAAGAAAGAGTGATAGAAGATCTCATAACAGTTTAGCGGACAATTTTTGTAGTACGTGTTCGAAGCCGATGTATATCTTTATGACCAGTTACGATCGTTTCTCAACTTATAAATGAGCTATTTACTTATTTTTGGAAAGTATATTCGTTACTCGATACTCGCATTCAAACGGAAAAGATAAAAATAAGTCGTTGGACAAATACGAACGAAAAAGAGCAAGTTTCTTATATTTGGTCATTTTTTTCTATCAATTATTAGAATAAGAGATAATAATAAAAAGAAAAAAAAATTAGGAAAGAAAATAGCAGAGCAAGTGTTTGGTCGTTCGTGACGCGTCGCTTTGTCTAGGACTCGTAAGTTTTGCGATAAGGTCTTATCTAACGTCAACGTTTCTAGACAAACCCCCCATCGTGAGATCTATATTACACTCTTTCTACAAAATTATCCGTTAATTATTATTTAGCAATGAAACTTCAACGATAATTACAAGAATGCAATGAGCGTAACTTAAACGAGGTCGTATCAATATAATTATAAGTGTCCTTACGTTTTACTTAATGTCGTCGTACGTTTACCGTATTTCTATTTATATACATCTTTTTTCCTTCGTTTTTGTTAAATTTAGAATACAGCAAATCAGATTCAAATCAGATTCAAGTTTGAAAAGCACGACGAATGAATAAACGAAATAACGAACGAACCAATGAATGAATATATTCGTAGAAAAATGTCATAACTTATGCAAATTAAAATAAGACGGAAATATCCGACCTAACGTAGATTTTCTTAGCTCGCTAGCAAGTACAATTTGTCATTCGTAATTTTCCTGTGAGCAGGCAAAAGAGTCAATGCCAAATTTTCGTTAAAACATCAACGATTACGTTGAAATATATTTGGAATTGGTGTAATTTGGCCGCGTAATTAAAATCCAATACTTACTCGATCTGATTCTCTATTACACCCCATCAAAGTATAATCGTAAAGACGATTCGTAATCGAGCTTGCTAAACGATTCTAAAATCTCCGAGATAATTAATTTCTCTAATGCGTCTCGCGTAACGCTTATAAAGTTTCATAAACGCCATAAGATCATGGCGAGTTGATCGTGCAAAGATCGTTATAACGTACCTCGTTAAAGTCTCGACTATCGTTTCCTTCATTCGATAACACGTTAATGCGTGTTTTCAAACGATTTCAAAGTGTGAAAATTTAATTCGTTGTCGTGTAATATTTAAACGATGGAATAATAAATCGCAAGAGAGAGAGAGAGAGAGAGAGAGAGAGAGAGAGAGAAAGAGAGAGAAAGACGCGATCTCACGATACAACCCCAACGAGACTGACGACGCGGGGCCCTGAGAGGCACTGACTGCTGTTCGGCTCGCTCGCTATAGTAGAAACGAGTCGCCGCCGGCAGACCTAGTCTCACCCTTCCACTTCTAAGCATCCATCCCCACCACTCGGAGCCGACTCCTCCCCCACCAAGGGTGCCACTAGGCCCGTCGGGACCCTTCGGAACGCCCCCTGGTACGCTGCGACGAGGTCCCGTCCTATCGCGAGAAAGACGGCGGTATGCGCGCGTGCGCGCGCTACTCTACACGAGGGCCGATTTGTCCTCGGCAAGGAGTCGACGCCGATGCTCGGCCACGCCTACCGTGCTCCTCCTAGCGCCGACTATGCCGATTCCCGCATACAAAATGGCCGACCTACCTAATCGATTCGTCGTTCCGCGGCTTTCTCTCTCCCTCCGACCGTTCCTTTCTTTCCTCTTACTCTCTCTTTCTTTCTTTCTTTGACTACCTAACTACTACTACTACTACTACTACTACCAGTCGTTGCACCTTCCTATAGGAACCACCTACTCTCGATACTTTCATCGTCCTTTTTCTTCTTCTTCTTCTTCTTCTTTACTTTCTTCTTCTTCTTCTTCTTCTTTTCTCTTTCTCTTTCCTTTACTGCTACTCTTCTTTCGCGTCGTCGACCAAAGCGGTAACCAAACGGTCGGTATATAACGTGTCACCGCGCTCCTACTTTCCTCCTCCTCCTCCTCCTCCTCCTCTTGTTTCGTCCCTCCTTCCCGTTCGCGTTGCAACTCCTTTCTCTTTCTATCTTTCTTCCGTTGGTCTCGAGAGCGCGGTGGTCCAAACTCCGTTGATTTGTTCGCGGAGATTTCGCGGTACTAGTGGTGGTAGTGTGTCTGGTACGCTGGCAACGTTGATGCCGCCGGTAGTGGTGGTAGTGCGGTTACCGTGCATCCCTCTCGAAGTAGACGTCGGCCGTCGATCGATTTTGGAAGAACGCGATGTCGAGGACGCGAGTCCTACGATTTCCAGTTCTTAAATTTCAATGCTCCTATCACAGATGCATATTTTTTTTCTTCAATTCCCGCGCTTTCCGAGTGACCGAGCACGCGAGTCGCTCCGAATGAAATGGTCGCATTATAATTATCGTCTGTAAATCCATCAAAATATCTTAAATATTTAATCGATCGAATATTTTCAAATAGTATATCGACGAATTTTGGAATAATAGTGCGTAATTTTGTCTCACAGTATGACGGTTCACTGGAGGAATGCTTTCGGAGTCTCTCTGTTATGTTCTTCGCACCGGGCCACAATGAATTATTACGGCAACTCGAGTAGGGCTCCTCACATGGCTTCGACACTCGAGAATCGGGAGGAAGAGGGACGAGGAGGGACGAGGAGGGTGGATGAGAGGGAGCGAGAAGGCTCTACACCAAAGAGAGCAGCATCTGCCCGGGATGCATTCGGCGCTGATAGCTTTGTCGGCTTTCCGCTCGTATACGCTTCTACGCGCTGAGCCGCTTAAGAGGCCTCCTCCTCCTCCTCCTCCTCCTCCTCCTCATTCTCCTCCTCCCTTCGTCCTTTCCTTCTCTTGTTGCCGCATCGCCATCTTTTCCTCCTCCACCTTCTCATCCTCGTCCAACTCGTACTCCATCAACTTGCTGCTCTAGCAACACCCTACATAGCCTTATTGTGTGTAGGTGCTGCGTGCGCACGCTTATAAATATACGATACAATATGTCCTCCTCTTCTCTTCTTTCGTCGACACTGTTGAGAAAAGAAACGAACGGACCCTTTTTAACGTCGATTTCGCGGAAAAAGAAGGGCGTAAAACGTTTTCCCGATCGATTCGTCATTCCTTCGCAAATGAAAGAGTAACGGAATCCTCCTGAATATTAAATATAGACTTAGAGTAGATTAACGCAATTGTGAACAACCAAAAATGCTATAGATACAATTTCAGTTTTGTCCTCTTTTTATACGGAAAATATCTATTCCACTACGTTTTCTTTTTCAAAATCGTGACGACAAAATTTCGTTACGCACAGGGTTAAAAGATAAATAAAATATATTTTTGGAAAATTTGATTAAAAAAAAGGGGAAAAAAAACAAGCGCGCTCGTGAATTTTCATCGAGTAGAGAAAAAAAATTTCATTTTCACCTAAAACTCGCACCGCGGTATTTGCAGTTTTTTTCATTTTCCTTTTTTTTTTCTTTTTCTCTTTTTTCCTTTTTTTCTTTTTTTAAACTAACGTCGGCTCTCCTCTCTTTATGTCAAACGATTCGATCGAGTAAGGCGGCTTAGTTAACGCACTATTGGTGAACCTCAAAGGTTTTCTTTTCCTCCGTTGCTCTTTTTTTCCCCCCTCGCTTTTCTTATTCGCTAAAAAGTCGCGGTAGGCCGCCTACGAGCGTGTGGTTGCTCTTTTTCGTGCTTTTCCCTCTTGATCTCGTAAGAACCCGCACGTTTTCGACCAAGTTTACGCTTCAAATCGCGTGCATCCTTGTTGCATTTCGTTCGATTATTGCACGGTTCTTCGCGTTTCAATCGAACGTTCATCTATGAACACCTTTCGTCAGAATTTCCTCAACGTTATCCGATTCTTTTCTCTATGCAATGTTTTTTGTTTAAATAAACGAATACTTTAAATGTTGATTTTGTAATGTTTGTAAATTGACACGTCGAGCGTGTTGAATAGTTAAGATTTTTAAACGAACATGTTGAATGCTGAATTTTAAGGATTTGTAAATGTTGAATTTTAAATACTTCTCTCCCGACACACACTCGAGAATTACAAATAATTTGTATTTTTCAATTAAAATCTAATCAAAAAATAATGACAATATAAATTATTCTTCATTATTTACTTATATAGAAAAATGTGAAAAGAAAAAAGATGTTAGATAAATTTATCTGAATATGAGAATATATATATATATATATATTGATAAAGAATAAAAATAGAAATAAAAGAAATAGAATAAAAACGATAGACTCAATTAGTTGGATAAATTGTTCTTAAGGAAACAACAACAACAACAAGAGCAACAACAGGAATAGAAGAAGAGGGGAAAAAGAGAATTTTCGTTTGGATAATTTTTTCGTCTACTAGTCGAGAACTCGTCATGAATTTCTTAACGCGGCACTTTACACGAGTTAATATTTTCATAGCGGGTGGTAGCGGGGGGGGGGGAAGGAGTAAACGTTCAACGGCGATAATTCATTTTCGCGACTCACCGCGCCATTTAATTTTCATTCGGACATAAAGTGACGCCTTTTATTTACTCGTTATTAAGTCGTCTAGTCTCTCTGCCATAAGACAGACCTACTCTGTTTTCCTCAATGTTTCAAGAGAAAAAGAGAAAAGGCTGGAGTACACGGCCAGACGACGTTTTTATTTTGCATTGACGTTAATTAACTTCGTTGTCGGATCATCGTGTACCGAGGAATCGATCGATTCAATTATCTTTTTAATCGACAAAATTGATTTAATATTAATTTTCCCTTTCGTATTATTTCCTCTTCCTTCCCCTATTTTCTTTTTTTAATTTGGAAATTTCTCCTTGACATTGCGCGAATTTTACATTCCAACAAATCTGACAACGAGAAGTGATTTAAACGAAGATAAGTTCTCGTCGAATCGCGTATGTATTTGCTTTACGAGTCCTCGTGATTCGAAACGTATGCCAAACGAGAGTCTTTATCGCGTTGAAAAATATATTAGGCGATAAAACATGCTCGCGTTGTGCCAGTCTTCTGCCAGCCCCTCCCCCGCCCCCAACCCCGCCACCCCACTCGCGCCAAACTTCCGTGTAAAAATATGAAGTTTACAAAACTTTGAACGGTTCGCTTGTAAATAGTCGACGGTTATCGGGTATTTACGTGCACACACGTATGCATTATCTCGATACTTTTCATATTTTTTCTGTTACATTAAAAAGAACATTTATTCGCGACGAAGAACATTTGTTTAATTTTAAAGTAACAAAATAAAAAATAATTTAACGCTAAATTCCCGGAAGTTTCGAAAAAAAGGAAAATCGGTTTTTCTCGAAGGGTGTGCGAGGAGACGTGGAAAAAAATAGGGCGGATGGCACCTTCGAGAGGAACGTTGTCGTCGTCGTCGTTGTGAAGCTGGAGGAAAGCAAATCCCATAGCTACTTAAGCGGCTCAGGATGGCTCCTGGTTTAGCTAGTCGGGAATATGGAGGTCAATCGGTACCTTCGAATCGAAGCCTTCTAAAACGAAAGAAAAGAACTTTAATCCGACCTAGGTTCTTGCCTTTTTATATTCCCCCCTTTTTTTCTTTTCTCTCTTTCTTGCTTTATATTTATTTTATTCTTTTGTATTTGCTTTAAACTGTCGGTAAAAAGAAAAAAAATCTCTATGAAAAATGTGTACGCGTACCGGATTGTTCAGTTGACTAATTTTCTGATACATTTTTCTACCATTACATTTTATCCAAAAAATGTAAATACATTGTATTGAATTTCGAATGACGATTAATTCATTCGTAACGAGTGCTCGTTACTAAACTCATATTTGATTGCTAATAGTATTTTTTCTCGCAGATCGAAGTTTATTTGCAAGAGTTAAAAGGAAAGTTAGAAGTAGAAGAAAAAAACCCCCCAAAAGAAACCAAAAAAAAACAAGATTTATGCAATCTGATAAGACGCGTTACGGCATCGGGGAGAAGATGCGTTTTAAATAAAGTGAACCGATGCAATGAAAATATACAGCCATCGCGTTGGCCATCGCATAAATCTACGCCCTGGTACCTACACTTAGCCATCGTATAAATATCGCGGCATTAGCCGTCGCAAATAGCTCGAAGGCGAAATTAGGTATTTATAGTGAAGGTCGTACGAACTTGTTGCTGCTGCTACTGCTGCTGCTGCTACAGTTACAGTTACAGCCACCTTCGCCGAGAACCCATTGGTGGAGAAGGATGAACTCACTCTCTCTCTCTCTTTCATTCAACCGAAACTTGTCACTCGTCTTATTCTCGATCGTAATAAAACATAACCGCCGTTAAGTATGATACTGACCTTAGTCAAAAATTTATACAAATTTATTCGATGATATATAAGTAATTAGACAGAAAGAAAAACAAGAATAAAAGACACCCATGGACAAAATTCTGACTTATTCCTTCAAATATTTGAACAGTGAGAAAATTTCAAAAGTGTTGGGTTTATTTTGAACAATAGAAGAGAAATTGAATGAAAGATACCTATCGGATTATCGGGAAAATTTCTAAATGATTATTGGAAACTATTTGGTTGATATTGATCTTTGAATAAAATTTTGAAAACAAAAAAAACAAAGAAAAAAGAAAAGAAAATCTCTCGGAAAACTCTTATTTTTAAAGTCCGGCTAATAAGGATATAAGGTCTGTCCCTAAAGAAATACGAAGCCCTAAGGTTTGTTCAGGTAAGCTCGTAAATTCTTAGATAGCTTACAACAATATGTAATGTTTTGATTCGAACGATCTTTTTTAAATCCATATAATAGTCATATCATGGAAAATCCTGAAGAAAAGAGGATGAAATTTTCTTGGCGCCTTGTAGGAATTTGAAAAAGTTAAAATGCGAAAGAGACTAATATCAAAGTTCGACCGGAAAACTTTCGATTTTTTTGTGATTTGAACTCGAAGCAAAGGTGAAATCGATAAGCTTATTTTCTATCGTAAAATACAATGAAATTTTTTTGGTGCATACGATGGATCTCAAAGTACTTAAGTTTATAATTTTACAATAACTAAGAACTATTGACCAATCTTAAATAATAATTAATCATGTATTTTTCGATTTATTGTATTTTCGATATAACATTAAAAAGATAAAGAAAAAAAAAATATATATATATAAAAATATATATATATTGTGTATATATTGTGAGATTTGTTCGTCCATTTAGGATCGTATTTCAAATGACACATAAATCAAATATACGAGTTAGTCGGAAAAGTCATTTTTCTAACAATAAGAGACAAATAAGCAGAAAAGTAAGAAGAAGAAGAAGAAGAAGAAGAAGAAGAAGAAGAAGAAGAAGAAGAAGAAGATAGAACAATCTCGTAGTTGGGGAAGATATTGTTTACGGTCAGAGGAGGAGAAATCTCGAAGGATGTGGTCGAGGCCCTTAGAACCGGAAGTAAAAGGAAGAAGGATCCTTTAGCTACCTGATGGTTAAAACACGAACACGATACGCGTCGTAAAGCCTGGCGCCAGGCGCAACGATACACACTTAACGTTTACTGTGTACAGACGCGGTAGCAACCTCTAATATCCCTACTTTCTTTCGAGCCCTTCTTCGAATATCCCTTCTTTCAAAAGGGAGACCAAGAGCGGGAGGAAGAAAACTTTCTGGGGAGAATCAAGAAATTCGAGACTTTTCGCTCATCCGTTGTTAGATACGTCATCGATTTAATAGGACCACACAATGACTTATCTTTATTTTATTTTATTTTATTTTATTTCATTTTGTTTTCTTCTTCTTTTTTGATTAAGCAAACTAATACTTTCTCTGATTTGTGAAAAATTGAAGAAATAGATTTTTCTTTTGTTTAATAAGTATTATATTATACATATGATCGAATGGATGTTTGTGTATTGATTTATATATACAAAATTATGATATTTATTATTAATCCTTTCGTTATTAGCAACCCCTATATACAAATATTATTTTCATTTTAATTATATTATATTAAATACGTGAAAAAAATCTATCCTTTAATATCTCAAATAACTTTAGATCATTTTCATAATCATCTGCTCCTATTTTCTCGATGGCGAGACATATTTAATTGGAAGGGTAAATTGTAGATACTCGCAAACCTTCCCTCCTCTCTCTCTCTCTCTCTCTCTCTCTCTCTCTCT